CCAACCACACCCGCACCCACACCCAACCACACCCGCACCCACACCCACCCACACCCGTCCAAAACGATTGTGTTCTATATGTCTTCGAATATGTTGAATTGAACATAATATTGTTTCGATGAGACCTACTTGTAATATCAAGTTCTATAGTTGCTAGAATTATTTTTAACAGTAATCTCTCAGAATGAAAATGAAATAAGAAAATTGACATTTTCAATATATACAAATAAGATCCATCACAAAACACTGTTGGTTGATTCAATATATAAAAGCACAACAAAAATATTGTTTTCAAAGCACTTGAAAGAACGAGTACATATGAGCAGTTTTATTGAAAAGTTCAGAAAAATAGTTAGATGAAATTTTGATTGTTAAATACTTTTATGCATTAGATCGTACAAGAGATGAAATTATTAGTCACTGTTATACGTCAGAAAAAGTCGTGTAGTTTATTGTGTCACAGAATAATAATTCGATGAAGGATATTCTTTCTGCATAGTTAAATCTGGATAATAAGAGACAGAATTAGGTAAAACATTTGTTGCTTGATTCAGCTCATACAGATTCGGTTTCGCAATGGATTCAGTCCCTAATGATATTGGTACATTAACATCAAAATCTGTGTCCATGTCATCAGTTTTAACATCAAATTCTAGAAGATAATAGATGCATACATTAGGTTTGCCGTGAAATTCATACGACGGAAGTAGTGGCTTGGAAGGAATAGTCATAGAAAATCTCTCGATTATTCGCTGTTTCTTTGTGTTAACGATTGTGGGTAGAATTGTTTGAATGATTGTTTTCCTTCCTGTGTTACATTCGATTTGAAAATGTTGAATCAAAGATAAATAAATTTGTTTCAACAAAACTCGTTGTGGATTATCGATTTCTACTGTTCCTTCGATTGTTTCACCTGGTACATAACCGAGTTTATTGATGTTTCCTTTCAGACTAAGCTCTTTTCGATTATGATTACCAAAAACAGATCGTGTTAAGTATTGTGGATCTTGCGATAGATTGACACGTGGAATGATTGTGAAGTAGATAGTTTCCGTCTTGTTAACTTTATACCAGGCTTTATCGATGACAAATAGTAAGTAATATCGAACACGGGGATATTCATTTGGTTGATTGATCGAAGGTGGAAGTTGATCAGGCAATCGAAAATCAAAAGACCATGAGTAGTTACCAGCATGATAAACTTATTCTTTCTGTCTCAATGTAGATCTTTCAAAGATTTGTTTTTCCGAAAACAACGATGTTGTATGGTAATCAGTCACCGTACGTGTTGAACCGTTTGCTTCAGAAACGGTACGTGTTGTTGAATAACCAGTTTCGCCATTCAATTTAATAAATATTTCATGAATCTTTTCCTGTACTCCTGTGATATTTACGTTAACTCTCCCCGAGACTACTTCACCAGGTAGAAACGATCGATTTGTTCGATTGAGATTTATGATGATAGAAACACTGTTGCCAGAGCCCATTTTGTGTCGGAAATTTATCTAGAGAAAAGTAGATGGAATATTTATTCAGTCCAAAGCGACATAATCGTTGAATCATAGACACAGTATAATCACAGTATTTTCTTGTTCTCTTGTAGCCTATGTGATATAAATAATCCTGATAAGGACTCAATCTTCAAAAGAAATGCGATATACAAAATACACTGATTAGTAATGTCTCGTTTTCCTCGAATACTTTCAATGGCTCGGATGCGACACCGTAAGTAAATTTGTTCTGGTATCAAGAGATCTTATGAACTCAGTATTACTTAGTTTGATCCTCACTATCTGTTTCGAGTTCATTGCCATTGTTAATTCGTTTCTGTGCATCATTTCATCAAACTAAATGAAACAAACAGATGTACCTAGTACTTAATAGTAAAACACATTTTCAATCAATTGATGTATTTGTGAGAGCCACAGGGGAACTGCGTAGATATGACTTTCACAGAAGGTGCATTGAGAAATTAATGAGAGATTGAGAGTGACTAGTAATCGTAAATAACAGGTGACCTAGATAAAAGAATGGCAGTTCAATGTTTCTCATTATCTTTTTTGAGTTTTGCTAGGGTTGAGTTCAGATTTTTTAAAAATTATTGTGCATTCAATTTCCCACAATTAGACATGGACGAAGGCATTTCATAAAGTTAGAAGCAAATAGCTAATGCAACAAACGGTGCAAACATGACAAAATGACCACGTTTAATTAAAAACTCAATTTTCTATGATTTATACTTACGTTCTCAAGTCGGCGCATGTAGACAAATCAAAGTGACCCACTATATATATATTGTCTTATCGTGACTTGTTGATTCCCGTGAAAAACAATGCACGTGTCTCTATCAAGTATTCATTTTGACAACAATGTTTGGTTTGTGTGACCGATAGTCACTGATGATACTACGTAGAGGAATGTTCAAATGAAAATTTTCAGTTGAAATAGTGCTTATTAGGTTGCATACAATAACATGTTTTCTGATTTTAGAAAAGAGATACCAACTAAAAATTTTTGCAACTATATTTTACTGCTAAATAAAAATGAAATATATCGCAATCCATTGAACTTGCATAATAGCAGCGTCACTTGCAATATATGTTTTTTCATTTTATCTATGTCATCCGTTCAGAACATTGGATTAGTAATCCAACGTTTTTGTTGATTACTAAGAAGAAACTTTTCTTGAAAACTCTGCCGATATTAAAATAAGACTCACAAGCATCGTCAAACGATTATTTTCAGTGCCGGCATGAAGCGATCAGGATTAGGCGGAGGATATCGACAGTCTGGGGCAAGCTGATGACTTGAGGGAGAATCGAAAAACTGATGGCAATCCATTGGGGGGGGGGGGGAAACGAAAATTTTTCAGGATTGAGGGAGTCACTCCCTCTTCAGTTGCGACAGCCTTGATTGTTTTAGTATTTTCATCTTAAGTAAACAATAACAGAACGACACCTATTGTTCACGCTTCAATTCTGTGTAAGGTAGTTACTTATTCGAATTGGGAACAATATCATTTTTCTTTTCTACTATGAACTTTCATGACGTAAATATAGTCGAAAAGATTACAATTTTCCTTCATATTGAAATCATTTTCCGCAAACTAGACAGACTCTCGAAAAGGTACATCTATATATTATATAGTGATGGGTCGAAGAACGTAAGTAGCGGAATAATTTTGTTTTTGTCACGGCGAAAATCGTAAGGAAGTAGAGAGCGTTTATTTCGATGTCTTACGTATACAGCCGTAAGAAGGAACTACAGAACGAAAGAAAAAGTGAACTGTATACGGTGTAACGAACGTAATACATTCTTTACGACATAAAATGTGTGTTTTGTTTGATTGATAAACGAAACAAAACGATCAAGATAGTGTTGTTAGTTCCAAAAATTAAGCATTCATTTATTTCAATGATATTGGAGCACTTCTAATTTTCTAAAACTCTTACTTTTCAATGTCGATTAGTCGGTA